TTCCCATAAAGGGTGAGCCACAGCCCAGTAGAAATATACTAAACCAAATAATAAGGCAATGGATAGACAGCGTTTAGCAATTCATAGATGATTTATAACCTAGATAATCAATTAACAATCATTAAACTGTCTCATGACACTAAGTCTAGACACGTTTTACTTTCCAACATTATCAATATGGGGCTCAAGAACCTGGCAACTTAACAACTAGTGAACTATATATATATAATTCCACATTTTTCCTCCAATGTCATACATACAAATGAGACTCAGGCCCAATAAAAACTTCATCTTTCCAGTTTGGATAACATACATTTAGTGCTGGTATCAATAAAACACTTCAATAGATAAATAAGCACCATAAAAGTCGATGCTAAATGGAGTCCATCCCCTAATCTCCTTCCCAAACAATCCGGTTAGAGTCAATCCCCTAATCTTTCCCTAAACCGTGGGTACATCCCTATCTCCCTCCCATCACAAAAACAATGTATGTAACACATAACATATACAACACAAATAATAACACATAGTGTCTGTATTAATTCAATGTTTTTTGCAGTCAAAATTGATGACTTAATCATGATAGTTTCAGTATCCCTAATCCACATGCATTGTCTACAACAATCACGACTATCCTCCACCGATAGCCCAAAACAGTTATTTCTAGACTTGGAAATAAATATATCAACAATTCAATAGGCGAGTGATTTAAATTATCCAACTACACCATTTAGTCAATAATTTCCCAATTTCATGAATTTAACCAAATTCCTCAATTCCCTTAGATCAATTATACAAATTAATTAACTATTACAACTAGGGTTTTTCCCAAAATTATCAAAGTAACCCCAACATATCAATATACTAAAACTTAGAACAAAACTTATAAGGTGGAGTAGGAAATCCCTACCTCGAAGAAGATAACCCGAATGGAGAAGACGGAGATGATGACCCAAAAACCCAAGTGCTCCAAAACTACAAACTCTCAGATTAAAACGAAGCTCTCGACTCACACTATCTTTTTAATAAAGCAACTAGGGTAGAAACACCCTAAACGGTGATGAAACCTAGGAGAGAAGATGAGTAGAGGGAGAGAGAACTCGGAACTAGGGTTTTAGGATCAAAAGAAAGTGAAAAATCGTTTTAAAAACCGCTGCTGCGTATTTAAACCCGTCAGGCTCGCTCGAGCGAAGACTTGGTCGCTCGAGCGACCAGACACACAAAAACCTCGCTCGAGCAAAGAAAAGCTCGCTCGAGCCAAACATGCAATGCTTCAGGTCTGCAACCCAGCAGCACGCTCGAGCGACAGAATGCTCGCTCGAGCGAGGAACTCAAAAACAAACACCTCGCTCGCTCGAGCGAATAAAATCTCGCTCGAGCGAATAAGCACTGCCCTCAGGTCTATACTAGACGCAATCGCTCGCTCGAGCGAAGCAAAGCTGGATCGAGCCAGAAGACACAAAATACAACCCTCGCTCGAGCGACCAATCCCTGGCTCGAGCGACCAACCCAAAAACTGGACAGCAACACTTGGTTTACGAACCCAACCAACCTGAAACAAACCTGCCCAACACATCTTATAACTCCAAATGAGAAAATAAAGGACGACAACAACAATTATACAACAATCAAATGGAAAAAGACCGGGGTCGCTATATATCTTTTCTCTCTCTATCTCTTTCGCTCATCTCTCTTCTCTCTATCTCTCTCGTTCATCTCTCTTCTCTCTCTGTCTCTCTCGCTCATCTCTCTTATCTCTGTCTCTCTCGTTCATCTCTCTTATTTATCTGTCTATTTTTTTGTTTCTCATTCTCTATCTCTCTCTCTCTCTCTGTCTCTCTCTCACTTATCGCTCTTCTCTCTGTCTCTCTCTCTCTCTATCTTTCTCTCTGTCTCTCTATCTTTCTCTCTGTCTCTTTTATTCATCTCTCTTCTCTTTATGTCTTTTTCGCTCATCTCTCTTCTCTCTATCTCTCTCTGTCTCTCTCGTCCATCTCTCTTCTTTCTCTGTCTCTTTTCTGTCTCTCACTCTCTATCTCTTTCTCTTCTTCTCTCTCTCTCACTATGTTTGCATTGCTCACTTTCTCCCTCCCGTCTTCTTTATTTACTGAGCTCCCTCTCGATTTATTGATCCACTACAAGAAAATGCACTTTAGCGACCGCTTTGTCTCTCTCTCTCTCTCTCTCCTTTATCTGTCTCTTACTCGTCTCTCTCTCTCACCACCTATCTCCTCTACCACCTTCACCACTACTGCAAACGCCATTCCACCACCACCACTACTTCCACTGTTGCCACTTCACCTCTACGACTACCATGACTACTACCAACCACTACCACTACCACTACTGCTATCACCACTACTACTATTACTATTACCTCTCATCCACCGCTGCCACTCCATCTCCCATACCACTACCACAACTTCATCACGAATCTCCTTCGTCGCCGCCACCGCCACTGTCGCTCACTCTCCTCTACTACAAAAAATTATTTTTAAAATACTCAAATAAAAAAAAAATTTCAATTAATTGTTTTTAAGTAATTTTGTTGAATATATTTTTTTTTTCAAATCATTTTTTTTTCAAACAACTTCTATGTCAATTATTTTTTGTCAATTAATTTTTTGTCAATTAATTTTGTAGGCCTGTATAAAAATATTAAAAATATTTGAAAAATTAAAATATTAAAAATATTTTAAAAATTAAATATTAAGAATATTAAAAATATTCTGAAAATCAAAATATTAAAAATATTCCGAAAAGCTCAACCAAACAAAACCTTTTATCATTTTTTCCCCGTCTTTTCCTAATTTTTTTCCATTTCATTTCAGGTTTGTAGAGCCCTAAGTTTCGGAGCCCTAAGTTTCGAAACAACACTGTCTCTCTCTTTCTCTCTCTCTCTCTCTCTCTCTCTCTCTCACGGAGGCGACAACGAGCGGCCATCGGCGAGCCCTACGTTTCTATTTTTGAGATTTGATTTACAATTACGCTTACCTTCCCGCCCACAACCATCTCTCTATCTTCCTACATTTTTCAGTCAGCAAAGCTTTCTCTCACCAGAAAAGCAGATCCAAAGCCTTCTCAATCACTAGTTCCAAACGTAATCGACCTCACATTTATCTCTGATCTGCGACTCTCTCTCTGTCTCTCTCTTCAGTCTCTATTTCACACTCGAAACCCTAGAATTTCGCAGACGGCTACCATGAACCACTACCACATCTATGAGGCTATCGGCCGTGGCAAATTCTCGGTAACTCTCTTTTTAGATTTGATTCAAGTTTGTTTTTGAATCTGTTTGTGGCGTGAAATTTTCTGCTTGGTTGCTGGGAAACAGAAGAAAATAGAAGAATGTAAAATTTTAATATATATATATATATATGCATTTAGAATTAGTGCAACAGTAGCAACAAGATTCCCTTAAAAAGTTAGAAATTTGATTGAATTAAGCTAGGTATCTGTAGTTCCTGTTTTTCTTATGTAACACGTAATGGATGTTCAAAATTTTAACTTTTTTTTCTCCTCTCTTATTATTTACTTGTTTGAAGTAGATAATGCAGAATCTAGGGTTGGATTTGATGTTTAGGTAAAAATTTGGGTTTCAGAGATATTTCTTATTTGTTACTGTTTCTTAAGAGGAATCGAGCAAGAACTGTTTGGAATATTTTGTGGACATGTTTTTGGCTAGTGAATACTTATAGGGTACCATAAATATGTTTTTTTCTCTGATTACTTCTTGAAAACCAATTCTGTGTGATGTTTATGTTTAAATGATGCTTTCTACTCCAGCTTGTGATAAAGTTTGTATGCTTTCCTATTTTTGTGTGGATATTGCATATGCAAATCTGTAGTCCTAGTTGACTAATTAAGTAATAGTATTGGAGTATGTTGCCATGTGATTTTCATAACAATTGTGATATTAGTGGACTACTGATGGTGTAGAATCCAGTTTTAATTTTTTTTTATTGTTACTTATCAAAAAAAAGGAATCCATTTTTCAGATTTCTATCAATTTAGTTCTTTGGAAATAAATGTTTGTGTTTATTTCACATGCAGAGAGAGCTTATATGAAGATGAGGAGTTTGATCAACGACAACTTGCTGCATTGCTTGTTTCAAAGGTCATTATCTTTTTTCTATGTATTCCTCCTTTGTGTTTAGCGACCATCATCCCTCTTCTATATTATGATCACTTACTTTTCTTGTATAGAAAAAAGATAATTTTCTTCAATTCTGGTTTTTTTGATCATTTGGGTTGCCAAGGTTTTCTTTCCTTCTTGCCTGAATAGTGTAGTGCGATCTCCTAACCATATATATTTATTATTTCCTTCTAGCAATCAAGTGGGGCATTGATGAAAATTTGTGGTATCCTATTAAATCTTTCCTTATGCATTCTTGGTTTCTCTAAGCTTTGCAACCACAATATATCTTAGTACTCTTTTTTTTATTTTTTTATTTTTATTTTAATTATCAGTAACTTACAATAGATTACTTGCATGTGAAGATAAAACCTGAAATCAGAGGCTATCACTTGTTAGTCCTTGAGACATTTAATTAATTTACTTTTATCTTGTTTACACAAATTCCTTTATTTTTTCATTAGGTTTTCTATTACTTGGGTGAACTTAATGACTCATTGTCATATGCTCTTGGTGTTGGTCCAATGTTTGATGTTTTTGAGGGTTCAGATTATGTCCATACCCTTATGGGTAAGAATTTTCGCATTCCATTTATTATTTTCCAACATGAAAAGAATTATATGAATGTAAATTACGCCTTTTCACTGTAATCTTACTAATTGTTGCTATCATGTTCTTGCTTCACTCAACTAAAGCTATTGATGAATATGCCAGCGTCAAGTCAAAGGTAGCAAAGTCAAATGATGAAGCAGCCAAAATGGACCCTCGTTTGGAGGCAATTGTGGAGAGAATGTTGGATAAGTATGTAAATTTCACCTCCTCTTCAATGTAATGACGACTTTTTCCAATTTTCATACCATTGCTGTATATAGGTGTATCCTGGATGGAAAGCATCAACAAGCTATCGGAATGGCAATTGAATGCAAACGATTGGATAAGCTTGAGGAAGCAATTATGAGGAGTGATAATATTCATGCAACCCTATCATATTGCATTAACATCTCTCATTCCTTTGTTAATCTGAGAGAATATCGCCATGAGGTATGGATAATGTTCTTGCCTGTCTAATTTAGAGAGCTATTTCCATATCCTGAAACAACATATTTTCTATAAACATTTTTTATGATTTCCCACAATAGTTAATTTCTGGTTGTCATGATTGGTATATTTATTTATGACAATGTAGTTCTTCATCCAGGTTACCTTTCTTGTTTCAATTTGAAATAGAAAATTTTCTGCTAGACTTAATTATAGTTATGTTTAAATATTGTACCAATCTAATGACAACTGTTGTTGCCATGTTGGTTTCCGCATTCAAGTTCCTTGGGCCGGCCTATGTGCATTCAGAAACTTTGTTTATAAAATTAAACAGGATTTTGGATTGTCAAGAAAATAGAGTGATATATCTAAAACGCCTTCTTCCTTGGTAGGTTTCTCTTACATTAAAACTTTTGATGCATGCTACTGATTTAGTTTGTATGACTCATTAAGATTCGGACTATGGAATATATATAATATTTTTTTAATAAAAAAATTGTACTGGAATTTTATTTACTAATTCATTTATTCTATTCCTCCATTAATTCAGCTGCCACAAGCAAAACGTGGAACTCCCTTTTACATGGCTTCTGAGTTGTTTCAGGATGGAGGCGTCCATTCTTATGCATCTGATTTGTGGGCCCTTGGTTGTGTGCTATATGAGTGCTATGCTGGGAACCCACCATTCATAGGAAAAGAGTGCTATGCATGTGCGTGATTTCTTGGCATATTATGTTTCAATATGTTGATTGCTATAAAACATTGGAATTATTACTTTATTTTCTCTGCTTTTAATTTGGCATGCCTTTCTTTCTTTGCAGCGATCTCATGCCAGTGGAGACATGAATTAGAGAAAATTTTCTATACAAGGCCACCACGGTTATAGCTGCAGCTGATCAAATTGTCTTTCATATTCTAGGTGTCATTGAAGCGTTTTTTGGCATGGAGACCCACAATTTGGCAGTGCAATGGCCGGACAGGGGGTGACAGTTAGGCAAGGAGGGTTTTGTGTGTCATAATGCCTTCACAATGACCTGATACTCAGCATGTAAAATTGGGTCCCAAAGTAATGGCTCATCTGTCTAGCTCAATTTTATTTAGGAAGTGGCAGAATTTAAATGCATTTGTTTTATGTTATTTTAGGTAATGGAAATTTGGGTTATGTTATTTTGAATATGAACAATCATGGAAAATTTTTAACATTAGATAGGAGTTATGGAACCTTATGTAGTGGGACTAATTTTGTTGTGGTGTATAATATATGATGGAAAATTTTTATTATTTGAAGAAATTGTTATTATTAATTATTATTAGGAGCAATTTTATATTTTTAATATTTTATGGTGGAATGGTTTTTTTTTCGTTTTTTCGCGGACGACATTAAACCATCGCAAAAAAATAGGAAAAATTATTTTTTTTAATTTCTTACAGGTCTTGTTGCGACGGGATTATACTCGGGTCGGCAAAAATAGAAATTTTATTATATCGAATTTTTTTATTTATATTTTTACAACCCGGGTGGCGACCGGCATTTTACCCTGTTCCGCAAAAAATAGAAATTTCATATTTTTTTAATATTTTTTGCGGACGGCAACCCACGTCGCAAAATAGATGTATTTCTGCCGTTGGGGCAAAAAAAGACTATTAGCATGGGGGTTTTTTTGTCGTCTCAAAATACTTTTGCGGACCAGGTAATAGTGCCGGGGTAACAAAGTCAAGGAAATTCAAAGCGTTTTTAGCAACTTTGGCAACAGTCACGGTCGCCAAAAAGGCAAA